CTCATTCAGTGCGAGAAACTAGTTGGGACAACCAACTACAACATATGAACTGATGTTGTCAAGCTATGTTTTCACGTTCGAGGACTTGAAGATCACTTGACCAAACAATCGAAAGATATTTCCACCATTCATCGCATTAAATAAAAGTAAGTCAATGATTCTCTACGCATCATGTTATGGTTTTCCATACCGCCTAATCTACAAGAGCAGTACCAAGCCTTTACCACTTGCTATCAGATTTGGGAAAAGGCTAAGAAAGTCTTCTCCAACGATGTAGATTGTCTCTACAACAAAGTTCTTAGCCTCAACTCTTTGAAATTGGAGAATATTGATATACAATCTTATCTTAATAAGCATGATTCTTTGTAGGCTAATTTTTCATCCATAATTCCTTTTACAAGTGATGCAACAACTCATGTCGAACAACACAACAAAATTTTCATGATTATGAGACTTGTCGAATTGCCACCAGAACTTGATTTTGTGCATAACTAGATTTTATTGGAATCCACTATTTTTGAAAATGAATCAATTAGAGAACAAATGTTGCATTTAGCTACACCTATTACTTTTGGACCTGTTATGCATATCTCATTGAATCATCTACTCTTGTTTCCCACTACCGTGGCCATGGTGGATGAAACGGAGGACGTGGTAGCCAATCTCATGGTATCTACACTACAACCATATTGAAGTTGGATGTCGTACAAAGTAAAGAGAGCAAAAACAATAATTATGGTTACTTATGTTGCTCAACCGACTATCAACAAAGATGGTATTATTCTGACTGGTAATTATAATGATTTCCTTCAGTTTAAATTATCCCATGAACCATCGTCTAATTTGTTGTCATTGCTTAGTCTGCTAATCCTATAACCTTTATTTTTACATCCTCCTCCCTTACTCCTTGGGTACTTGACTCTAGCGCCTCTGATCATATAAGTGGTAATAAATCTCTTTTAGTTCACTTGTCTTATTTTAATTCTCTGTCTTTTATAAATGTGGCGGATGGCTTTAAAAGCAAAGCTCAAAGCCTTGGTCAAACACACTCACTTCCAAACTTATCTGTAAATTTTATGCTCTATAAACCTGATTTTCCTTTCAATCTAATATGTGTTAATAAACTCATTTTACTCTTCATTGCTCTATTCTTTTTATTGATAATTTTGTTCATGTCGAGGATCGACATATAAGGCAGACGATTCGAGCAGAGAATGAAAGTGGAGGATTATATCATCTATCGCCGCCGCTGGCATGTGTTTTTATTGCTTCTCAAAGTCTTACACATAAATTTTTGGGTCACCCTAGCCTTAATGAAAACGCGTCTTTTAATTCCTAGTTTTTCTAAGCTTTCATCATTTGAATGTTAGACGTGTCAGTTAGGCAAACATACTCATCACATCTATAGTCAACGAGAAAAAAATTATTATGTCGCATTTTGCCTTAATTCATTATGATATTTTGGGTCCTAGTCGTATCAAGTCAAATTTGGGTTATTATTATTTTGTAATTTTCATCGATGATTTTTCAAAATGTACTTGGTTATTTTTAATGAAAATTCCTTTAGATGTTTTCCATATATTCCAAGAATTTTATGCAAAAATTAAAAATCAGTTTGACATTTTTTTTTAAATTTTACGCACTGATAATGCTCGTGAATATATGTCATCCCAACTTCAATCCATTTTAACATCACAGGGGATTATTCATCAATCTTCATGTTCTCACACAGCAAAACAAAACGGTGTCGCAGAACAAAAGAATTATCATTTAGTTGAAACTATACAAACCCTTTTACTTCACCACAATGTCTTGTCTCATTTTTGGGTGATTCCCTTTTCATAATTTGTCACTTATCAACCATATGCCTTCTTCTGTTCTTCAAGATAAGATTCCATACTCTATCTTGAACCCATAGTATGATCTCTACTTTATTCCTCTTCATGTTTTTGGTTGCAAATACTTTGTTCATGACCTCAGCCCAAGCAAAGACAAACTTTATGTCAAATCTGTCAAATTTATTTTTCCAGAATACTCACCTATACAAAAAGGATATCCTTGTTTTTCTCCCTAACTTCAACGATACATTGTTTCTGATGAAGTCATATTCTTTGAAACCTCCCTCATTTATCTCTACTTTTGTGTCACTTGATGAAAATTGTACTTCAGATGTTAGAGATATCTCTAGTGTTATCCCTGCACCCATTGTAGCCCCTACACACCTCCACTGTGTGTCTATCAGCAATGGAAACACCGTCAATTGTAAGTAAGAGATGATATTTATCCACTAACACCATCTCTTGCTCCAACTGCTCCTCGAGTTATGTCGCATACGCCTGAACTTCCAATAACATTACTGAAATGTATTTGTTTTGATCGTTCTAATTCTAAATATGTTTTTTTTTAAACTATGACTTTCTCTCTACTTCCTATATTTCTTTTGTTTTTTCTTTAGATTATGTGTCTATCTTTAAGTCTACAGGTGAAGTAATGACTTATTCTAATTGGTATCAAGAGATTGTGGAAGAAATAGTTGCTTTACATTTAAATCACTTGGGACATTGTCTCTTTACCTACAAACAAAACTACAATGGGATGTTGATAAGTTCATGTAGTAAGATTTAGACCAGATGGTCAGATCGATTATTTTAAAGCCCGTTTAGTAGCTAAAGGCTATACAAATATTTGATTTCGAGGTGATATTTTTTCTCCGATGACCAAGATCAGTTCAATTCGCCTCTTTCTTGCGATGAATATCATTCATCATTGGCCGCTTCATCACTCTAAAGACCAATTGACCGATATGTTTACTAAGTCTTTCAAAAACTCTCGAGCGAGTTACATTTGTAACAAATTCGTCTCATATAACTTATATGATCTAGCTTGAGGAAGAGTATTAAGAATCTGTTAGAATCAATTAGAATTGATTAGTATTAATTGTATTGATTATTGACCGATATGTTTACTAAGTCTTTCAAAGACTCTCGAGTGAGTTACATTTGTAACAAATTCGTCTTATATAACTTATATGATCTAGCTTGAGAAAAAGTATTAAGAATCTGCTATCAATTAGCATTGATTAGTATTAATTGTATTGATTACATTATCTTATTATATATATCCTATATAATTATACATATACACTCAACATAATCTCATTCCACACACAATATATATATATATATATATATATATATATATATATATATATATATATATATATATATATATATATATATATATATATATATATATATATATATATATAATTCCAATAACTTTAAGACATTTTTTAGAAAAAAGAGAGAAAAGAATAGAGAGAAAACAAGACGTAAAAGTGAATTTACGGATTCTCTAACTTTCTATCTGCTAACTTTTGGTGACTAATTTTCTTAAAAAAAGAAGTGAATAGAAGAAGAAGAAAAGCGAAATAAACAAGATGTGAGAGTGTGAAAGAGGTATAAAGAAAAAGTATTAGAGGATAGTTCATTCAAAAAAAGTCAATGAATCTGAATCCCAAATATAACATTATACTTTTTTTTGTTACTAACATCATTTTCCAATTATTTAATTTTACTTTTAACATTAATTTTTTTATGTGAATAAACAATCATTTAACAAAATGTAACTTTTACTATTGTGCATTAGATTGTTCACAAATAAAATTGTTTAACATATTGTAGTGGAAGCAACACTAAAATTCAGTAAGCCAGTCATAATTGTTCAATAATTAGTAACAGAAATTTAAGTTAGTGGAAAGTGTACGAAAACTGTGAAAGGTGAAGTAAAGATGAATTATGTTTATCTCAAAAATATAACACTGAAAGGTGTAAGAAAACTGAATAATACAGAGTTTGTTAGTTAGTTTTATTTTCCTGTAATTCTGTTATGACATCAGTTCAGTAGCCTATAAATATGAGTCTCTGAATCTCCTCTATTCAATATGAAATTATGAATAATACAATGAAGCTCAGCTTAAGGCAGTGAGATAGAGCCATACCTTTTTTTTTGAACAAATTTAATTTATGTATACTAGCGTCCAGACGGGCACCCGCTTTTTTAATGCGCATGAATGAAAATATAAACGATACTTTTTTTTAAATAAATACAATATATGAAAATTAATAATAAGAAGTTATGTGGAAGTTTATAATAAGAAGTTATTAAGTAAATTATATAATAAAGTAAGGGTAAAAATGATAGAAAAATAAGCCACACTAAAACAAAGTATTCCCTTTATATATTATAGTACATAGCTCAGTTAGCAAGAAGTTAACTCACATACCGATAGGTTGTGGATTCAACTCCCGCCGCCGATTGAGGACATTCTTGATATTACAAATACCTCTATAAACACTCTTTGAGTCTCGAGGCCTTCCCTGACCTGGTGAGCCCAAAATCCACTCACCTAAATTTTCTTTTTAAAAAAAGAATGAATAAAAATGTTTTGGCTACAATACACTAGATTTATTACTCATTAGCCAGCCAACACTTCTGAATGTAAATAAACATGCATAAAAATATAATAATCTTTGTACAATTGATGCAAGACCTCGCAAAATATAAGGGATCTCTATATGTGAGGACTGATAATGCAATGTGCACAACTACAACTCAACCAGATGCATTAGGCTAGCATATCACAGAAATCCAACCTCTACCTTAAAATAGTTTGATTAGCTGGGAGCAATGGCGAGAACCACGTGCAATTTCAATACATTGTTAGGGGAGATGAAGAGGTTAAACTTAACATGATGATGAGCTCTCTCTGATGTCCAATGAAGCACTGACACAAACATAGATATCTCGACCCTGACAACAAGAAACTATAGAGGTGATTAAGTGTAACGACGGCAATGTCATATTAGTGTGTAAGACACGAAGATGTCTTCAATATGATGTGTCTATGCTCTACATAGATGGTAATTAGATCGATAATATTTGTATAAAAGAAACTCTGCATGCAATTCAGAGCTCTGATTCATTTAAATCTGCAATACTCAGCATGTTCTCAAAAGCTTTGGTCTCCACGACCTAAACCAATTACAATCTGGTTTTGGATCCATGATCCTCTTCTTGTTCTTGATTTCAGTGTTTTGAGAATCATCGGCTGAGGCTACACTATTCATGGATGGCTGTGGATTAGTACTCGCCGAAGACTCCACAATCTGATTCACCATTTCTAATACTTCACTCATCTTCGGGCGATTCTTTGGGTTTCTGACCAAGCATCTGTTGGCTACTAAAGCTAGCTTTTGGGCTGATTTTGAGAGGTGTTTCCTCTCAAGTCTTGGATCCAATATTATTTGAAATTTCTTCACGTCTGAAAGGTATGGTCTTATCCAGTCCAACAACTTCTGCTCACTCTTGGGGCGATTTCGATCTAAAGGACGCCTGCCAGTAATGAGTTCATAAAGGAAGACACCGTAGCTCCATACATCAATCTTTGAAGTGAGACGTCCTGTTTGAATATATTCGGGAGCTGCATAGCCCATTGTTCCAACAACCTGATGAATACATTATTCAAGGTACTATTAGACTTAGGTCCCTATTCGCATACCAAATTCCTCTCTCGCTTATCACATCTCCACATATGTAAATTATGGATTAATATATGAAATCAGGGATGAAGAAAACATGATCATACCGCTGTTGAGACATGAGTTAACCCATCAGATGGTCCCAATCTTGCTAATCCAAAATCTGAAAGCTTTGCATTCCACTGCTCGTCCAGAAGGATATTTGAAGATTTGAAATCTCTGAAAATTATCTAAATATCCCTCACAAACAGTTAGTACAGCAATATCAAGCTGCACAATAATTTAATATAGCAAATAAACTACTTTTAAATAGTTCAATTTAGCTCCTCCTAGCTTCCTTTAGGGGGTGAGTTTCTACACAGCCTTTACATTTTATACCCTTGAATAGGAAAGTTATGCCTATACCTGAAAATCCATTTCCTCGTGCAGGTATGTTAAGCCGCGAGCAGCGTCTTGGGCTATTTTCAGTCTCCTACTCCACGAGAGAGGAGTTTCTGATCGTGGCGATAAATGGTGTTCCACGCTTCCATTGGGCATATACTGGTATATCAAAAGCCGCTGGATTCCCCTTTCATCATCATCAGCACAATATCCCACTAGTTTCACAAGATTGGGATGCTCAACAATACCTAGAACATTCACTTCAGTTACCCATTCTTTATGCCCCTATAAGCCAAAAGGAAAGTAAGTAAGTAAGTAAGTCACACACATTGTAACGCAGAGGAAAAAGTAATCAAAGGTTAAAGCATAACTCCTATCTGGTGTAGAAAAATTGAAGTGTGGAAGGACACACATTCATAAGTTTCTCATCTTTAATTGACTCTTCAAATAACTGACGACACAGTTCAATTAAGCTTTATAACATTATGCTTATTTTAGCTTTCTTTGTGATGATATTTAAACACAAAAAAGTACATGATGGAGTCAAAGAACTAGACAGTGCATGAAAGGATCTTATCATACTTTAACATAATACCTATTGACATAACATAAGCTGTTAAGAAATAAGCTGTTAAGAAATGTGGTTGGACCTAACTTGTAGGGTGAGGATTGCCCCCACTTATAAGCACATGTTCAGGTTATACATTGTCCGATCTTAACAGAAGCAACCCAATTTATATAACTCTTAGAAGGAAATATAGAAAACAGAACCTTACCTGAATTCCTCTTTTACCAAGTTGTTTAACCGCAACTTCAATTTTACTAGGGGGGTCATCTAAAGTCTTGATCACTCCCTTGTAGACACACCCAAATCCGCCCTCACCAAGCATAACAGAACGACCGAAATTCTTGGTGGCTGACTTCAGTTCAGACACAGTAAATACTCTCAGGTTGCTAGGTCTTTGGGACAAATTGGGAAATGCATTCCTCCTGAGGGAGTCCGAGCTATTGTCTGATGACGCATCCAGAGAATTTAATTCAGAACCAGTTCTTCTCACGTCACTCCCACCATAAGTAGAATTGTTCGACAGACCCGATAATGTCTGCAAGCTCTTAGCATCACCTTTCTTTTCTCCATAGTAGATGTTGAACGGAAAACAATTCATTGCAACCAGATCCAAACCGCACTGCATTTTCACAAAATTGAATCAAAATTAAGAGCCATAAAGTCAATGAAAATCAAACATAACATCAAATATGAAGGCCATATCCAAACACTTCATTGTTCAAAAAGAAAATACAAGTTCGCATGAATTGAGATTATCACTAGATCAAAACCCTAACCCCATCAATCCCTCCTAAAACAACTCTAAATTCAGATAACCCAAAACAGAAATGTCATTAACCTAATGAAATCACAAATCTATCATAATTATACAAATTTCCAAGATCATTGACGGAAACAAACCTATTATAAATCTAGCAATTGTGAAACTTTAAACCAATAAATAAAATCATCAGAAAATTGGTATATTTTTGGGAAATAAGACCTAGAAAATAGCACAGTGTTGAAATTCAGAAGAAAGACAAATTGGTTGCAGAACTTGTTTAATTATAATAGAGGATAAAAAAAAGGAGATTATATTGAGAATGAAACTAACCTCTAGTTTGATCGGAAAAAAAGTTATTATGATAAAATCCCAATTTTGTTATGAAGCTAGAGAAGACTTAATTCAAGTAAACTTTCACGGAAGGCATTTTGGTTAAAAAAAGGAGAAAGAGTGAGTCGCAGAGTTGAAGTCAGGTAAAGAACAAAATCCGAAGGAAACTTGAAAGATTTGTAATATGAACGAGTCTCGGGTTCGAAAGACCGAGTCGGAAAAAAAGAAAGAAACAGAAACAGGAACAGCCACTAGCCAGTGTTATTTTTGTCCTTCTTGTATTCTTTTTATTATTTTCCGTGGTCTTTTTCTTTGGCTTAAGAAAATGATTGAAGGGAAGGATGTAAAAATTGTTCAAAACTTTAACTGGAATTTGGATCCGTGCAATCGACGTAGCCACCACATTTTAGTAGAAGTTAAACTGTTAAGGAACTTTTATATGACATAATCGGTGTGGATTCAATATAAAAAAGTTATAAAAGAAAACTACTTGGATTTTTTTATTGTTAAAAATAGATAAATAGAAAAAATCGGAAAGTGCGGAGAAGCGCGCAAACGGGGACAAAAAGTAGTATGAAGTTTCGCGGTCTTTGCCACTATTGACCATAGTGCAGAGTATTTATTGTTACAAATTTATTAGAAACCAAATCATTTTTTATTAAATATCAAAATCAAAATGGTACTGACAGATAAGATAACCATGGTCCCATTTAAATTCTTTCCATAAAACAGATAGTTACAAAATCAAAACCACTAAAATCATCATTATTATGATAGGAACGAATTTAATAACTTTATTAGTGATTGATAATTCTGATGACTCTAGTGTAATTAAAAGATGTATAAACAATTAAAATGAATTACTTTTAATGAGAGATAATAATTGGTTTAAAGAAAAAAGAGGCAACGTTATTAAAATTATCAAAATGATAAACTCACTTTAACCTTGTCCTTATGATGATAGTGATGAGTTGTTCTTGAAAGCTTATAGTAATATTATGATTGTATTTACGAAACTATTATGTTATGGCAGTGCTTGGTAATATAATTTGAGATTCGAGTATCGATTATCCAAAAAATTGTCTTCATTATCTCCAGTGGCTTCTTTGTTTAGTGAGTGCAACGATGCATTACAACTTACTAAATAGTTTTGAATGGTTAACACTTAACAATAAGAAAATATCACAAAATCTCATTAAAAGAACACAATAATAACACATGATTACATATCATAGGATACAACTCAAAACCATTTCACCACAGCTAAGAGATAATATATAGCTTTATGTACAAGTAGAAAAATATACTCTTGGGTGAGATAACAACTCATTATTTTTATGAGTCTCTTAACAAATAAATTTGACGATGAATCAAGAGTTTAATTTTTTTATTCTTAAGAATCATAAATTGGCAAGTTTAAAGTTCAAATTTAAAGATTAAAAATTTTAAAATTAAAGTTTTGGGGCTTAAACTCATTTCTTTACAACCAAAGTCTAATATACATATGTAAACTCATTTCTTTACAACCAAAGTCTAATATACATATTACATTTTAGGCATAATTAGTTACTGGGTCTTTTAAATTTGAGCGAAGTTTCGCTGTGGTCTCCGAACTAAAAAATGTTACATAGTGATCCTTTATTTAAGTTTCGTTAAATATTTTAGTTCCTTCTGTTAGTTTGTGACAAAAAAAAAACGTTAGTTTATGTGAGGTGGCATGCCAAGTAAGACTCCACATTAGCATATGTATACGTTGTCTTACATAGGGTTCATTCTTCTTCCAGTTTCTTCTTCATAGGATTCATTGTTGTTGCTTCATTCTTCTTCCACCATTCTTCTTCATCTGTGCTCCATATTATCGTACCTCGAAAAATACGATCCTCGCGATGGACGTGGAAAAACGTTCGAACAGAGTCGTCACCGAACTTTATTCATTCCAAGGAAAGAATAGGAAAATATCGATAAAACCTTTAAAGAGATAAAAACATGGTCATCGCAACCAATTCTAGGTTCGGGAGTCGATTACGCAAAGGGAAGGTATTAGCACCCTCTACGTCCATTGTTCTCAACGAGAACCTCTTGATTCGATTTGTGAGAGAAATTAGCTACGTTTGTTTATCTTCTAAAGGAATTGCTTGCTAATGGGGAAAATGGGTGATTTTAAGATAGGGTGCTCGCCAAGGATTGGGGCCCTTGTGCCTACGTACTCCCTCGTGCAATGGGAAAGTCAGAGCATCGTAGTTCGCGGGACTACGAGAAAAGGAAGGAATTGTGCTCGCCAAGATCATCGCAATCTTGTGCCTACGTATCTTACATTCAAAAGAGAATGAAGAATCAGAGCGTCTGTAGTTCGGACAACTGGGAAAAGGTTTGAAGATGGTACAGATGAAGATTACTTGAAGCTTAAGAAAGACTTCTCGGACTTAAGTAATCGGGAGAGTGAACCAAAGACTTGGATCTCCCTCTTTTTCATCGTGAAAAGAATATTGTATTTAAATGGAACGATGTTTAGGTCGCGTTCTAACTGCTAAATATTGGCTTGTCTGCTCGCTAGGGGAGGCTGAAGCACGAGTTTGTTATGCGCGAAAGAAGGTACTAAACAATGTTCTTTGAATTGTGGATCGCATGGGGGCGAGGAAATAGTGTTTGACTGGTTAAGTATTTGGTTTGGAAAAGAGGGTAGATTTGAATAGGTTTTAGGATTGGTCGCACGGGGGCGAGAAAGAGAATTGATGTATCGGATGTTTAGCTAGAGGTGATGATTACCTAAAGCTTAAGAAAGACTTCTCGGGCCCAAGTAATCGGGAGAGTGAACCAAAGACTTGGAGCTCTCTCTTTTTCAACCTCAAATGCGAAAGGATATGATGTAGCTTAAGTAGGTGGATCGGATGACGATTACTCGAAGCTTAAGAAAGACTTCTCGGACTCAAGTAATCGGGAGAGTGAACCAAAAACTTGGAGCTCTCTCTTTTTCAACCTCAAATGTGAAGGAATTGAGTACGGTTTGAATAAGTTGATCGAATGACGATTACTTGAAGCTTAAAAAAGACTTCTCGGACCCAAGTAATCGGGAGAGTGAACCAAAGACTTGGAGCTCTCTCTTTTTCATCTAAGTATGAAAGGATTTCGGTATAGTTAGGGTGTATTAATCGAATGATTATTACTCGAAGCTTAAGAAAGACTTCTCGGACCCAAGTAATTGGGAGAGTGAACCGAAGACTTAGAGCTCTCTCTTTTTGTATCACAAAGAGTGGTTGTGTTTGGAGGGTTTTGAACAAATGAGGTGATTAAATTTTTATCGGATGAGGATTACCCAAAGCTTAAGAAAGACTTCTCGGATTTTAAATAATCGGAATGAGCCAAAGACTTGACTCTTTCTTTTCTCATCTAATATTACGAAAGATCTTGGATATAATTAAAGTGTATTAATCGGATACTTGAAACTTAAGAAAGACTTCTCGGACCCAAGTAATCGGGAGAGTGAACCAAAGACTTGGAGCTCTCTCTTTTTCATCTAAGTGTAAAAGGATTTCGGTATAGTTAGGGTGTATTAATCGGATGACGATTACTCAAAGCTTAAGAAAGACTTCTCGGACCCAAGTAATCGGGAGAGTGAACCAAAGACTTGGAGCTCTCTCTTTTTTCATCCCAAAGAGTGGTTGTGTTTGGAGGGCTTTGAACAAAGGAGGTGATTAAAGTTTTATTGGATGAGGATTACCCAAAGCTTAAGAAAGACTTCTCGGACTTTAAATAATCGGAATGAGCCAAAGACTTGACTCTTTCTTTTCACATCTAATATTATGAAAGATCTTGGATATAATTAAAGTGTATTAATCGGATGACGATTACTCGAAACTTAAGAAAGACTTCTCGGACCCAAGTAATCGGGAGAGTGAACCAAAAACTTGGAGTTCTCTCTTTTTCATCCTTTTATTGAAAATGTATTTGAGTATAGTTAGGTATGTTAAGTTTGCTTTAGTAAAATGCTCGACAGGGATCGAGGTTTAAGTTTACGTACGGAATGAACAAGGTTGAACTAAAGGGTAGGAGATCCTATGAGTATAGGGTAAGTTTGATGGCGAGACCAAAGCGCTCGACTTACAAGGAGAGTATGAGGATTTGATATAATCAAGTTTATAAGAAAAGTCAAAGGTTAATTGCATTTGTTTTGAAGATACTTGACGTTGGATCAAGTTCGGAAGAGAATTTGATTTTAATTTCATATGTGAAGTGTGTAGCAAGCGTCGTTGTACAAAGCCCAAGAGGAGGCTATAAGGTCGATGGCGATCGTAAAAACAATCGGCTTACAATGGTATTTGAAAATGGGCTTGACATTAAGTCAAGATATTAGTTTAAAAAGTAGGTTTGAACAAGCATGTGAACAACATAAATATAATTGAGGTATGATAATAAAACATGTATAAACATTACACAAAAGTCATAAACTAAATAAAACGGGGAATAGGTTAATCAAAACATGTTAACTTAATTAGTAATTATCTAAG